AGAATCGGTAGTAAAAAAATTTGAATCCCACCACTGCTTAAAACTGCCAAATTTGAAGGTCGCTGATTTAGACATAAAGCTTGCTGGGACACTTTGGCCCAATCACTCTCTCAGTCCTAAGAAGGAGGACGCAAGAACAAACCATGTCCCCCAAATGCAGCAAGTATCAAGAGCTGGCTTGAGGGCCTTGCTCCTGCCAGTGCTCTATAGCAGCAGTCGCCAACCGATGGGCCGTGAGAAAATTTTGGTGGGCTGCAGAGAAATCTCACCCCCAGAGCACCCCCACCCCCAAAGCAATTAATCCAGGCTGCACAGAAACACAAGGCTGCTCAGCCCACATGGCCCATGGTAACCCTCTCCGCCCACTCACTCCTTACCCAGCAAACTTGTCTGCTAAGTTGCTATTTTTCCTTTTTAGCTAGGAAGCAGGAAATGGTTGGATTTCTTGCTTTCTAGCTAAGCACAGCTGAACCTCCCTTAAGACTGAAGGCTTGCTTGCAAGCAAATTCAGTGCAGACTCACGGCAAGCAAATTTGAGAGACTGAGCTAGCCGATGGCAGATAGATAGATCACTGAATGATTCTGTGAACAACTCAACCTGCCTGCTTTGCCTGATTTTGGATAAAAGTTGCTTTTTTAATTAAAAAAAATCAATATTTACATACATGGTGTATTGTGAGTTAATTTTGTGAGTTTGCTTGCAAGCAAATTTTATGTGACAGACTGAGCTAGCCAATGGCAGATAGATAGATTTCTGAATGAATCTGTGATTCTGTGAGCAACTCAATCTGCCTGCCTGCTTTGCCTGATTTTGGGTAAAAGTTGCTCTTTTTTATAAAAAAATTCAATATTTGTATAAATATTTATAATATTTACATACAAGCCATGTCCAGCCAGTCACATGACCACCAAGCCACACCCACAAATTAGGCCACCCCCACAGAACCACTTAGTGGTCCCTGGGATCTAAAATTATGAGTTTGGTGGTCCCTGAGGTCCAAAAGGTTGGCGACCCCTGCTCTATAGCAACCCTTCCCCCTGCTGCCAATGAAAAGGAGAAGCAGGGATACCTGCCTGTGAAAAAAATATTGGAAATTATACTTCTTCTGCTTGATTATAGAATTATCATTCAAGCTGTTCCTGTGTAAGCTTGAGCTAGACATTTCTCTCTTTAAAAATTAAGTGTGCCATTCTCTGCTCTAAGACGTGTTCAATAGTATCGCCTCTGACTTCAAAGCAGATGTGTGGGATTTTTCATAAAGATCTGAAACACTACCAGATTTGAACCAACACAAAATATCAGATAAGACCAGTGGCAAAGTACTGAAGAGAAGCTAAGATATATATTTGAAGAATAAAGGTTTCTTGTATATTTGACAATTAAGGCTAACAGTATGTTTATTAAAGATACTTTAGTCAATATACTGGTACATTTCCACCTTTGTGTGTGTAATTGATTTCGATAAAATCATGTTCATGCCCATGGCAGAAATCTAGATAGTCCTGTTAGAAAGTTATAGTTTGTTTATTTATTTAAAACACCCATCTTATGTATAACAATCCTGAATAGCTAATTTAAGAATAATAATACCAAGAGAGCTAATAAAACCAGTGTACAAAATACCAATCCTAACAACCTCAGCGTCATTCTTTAACTAACCCATCAAAAGCCACAATCACTTGCCTCCAACTTCAGCCTATCCAGTGGTGGTATTCAGCCGGTTCGCACCGGATTGGGTAAACCGGTAGCAAGAGTTTGGTGCGGGTCACTGAACCGGTAGTAAGTTCTGGCTGCCCATGCCACCTACCCGGTCGCCCTCCTACCTGATGCTCGCTTACCCCATCTGCCTGACGTTTGCCTAAGGTATTTCTTTCTTTTTTTACCCTCCCAACAATCAGCTGTACATAGATCAGCTGTGCTGGGATTCCCCTTGCTGAGGCCCAGAAAGGCAAAAAAAAGGCTCAGTTCCCCCCCCCCCCCCCCCTTTTTTCCCCCCCCGCCCCTCAGGGGAGCCTTAGGGGAGCAAAAACCCCCCCCCCAGAGGTTCCTCCGAGGCCCAGAAGGCCCCCAAAATGGGTGGGAGCTGCAAAAAAAATGCCATGCTCACGCAGTCACATGGCCACACCCACCAAGCCACACCGACAGAACCGGTAATAATTTTTTTTTGAATCCCACCACTGAATGTATCCCAGTGCTAATAGGAAGACCCAACTTTTAAAATCCTATCAGAAGCCTAGGAAAATGGGGGACTACGGCATGTCAGTGGGGAAAGGGCAGGAACTGCTGTGCACTTCCTAGTCCCACTAGATCGGATGTCAGCAATGTGCGGCTCTGGAGCCACATGTGGCTCTTTGGGCCCTCTGCTGTGGCTTCCTATTGGGTGATCCCACCACTGGTTGGCCTCCCCCCTCACCCTTCCCACCCAGTCATTCCTCGTCTGGCCTGATAAGGTAAAACACAAAAAAACAGAAATGGGAGGGAGGAAGAAAGAGAGAGAGAGACCCATTTCCCACAGAAAACAAGGGGAGCCACAAAACCTGGGTATGCATGGAGAGGAGGTCATGTGACTGGGTGGGAGTGATGTTGAGTTGGCCATGCCCACCCAGGTTTTGTGGTTCCTGGTGTTTTCTTTTCTGCGGGGAACAAATAGTTCTTTGAGTGTTTAAGGTTGCAGACCCCTGCACTAGATAACAATGTTTAAGGAGAAGGGAAGGGGGGAAGGGATAGGATAATCTAATCCTATTTCATGCAGGGTTTTAAATGTGATAATCAACATTTTGAATTTGCACCCAGAAAGAGAACTGGAAATAAGCAGACATCAGCGATATTTTATTCGGACATATAATTACATATGTATTTATTTATATACTTTGACTGGAGTACTGTACTCTGTAATAAGTCAAATTATAGTTGCAATTAATAGTGTCATTTTATCTCATTTTTCTTCAATCTTGGTTTATTGGCTTACCTTCCCAAACAAGCAAATTCATTATTTTGATTCTTTTCCAGTTACCAGGTGAGGAAGATTAACTGATCTCAAAAAGCTAAGCATCTGGGTTAATAACTTGCATGGGAGACCATAGAGTCATAGGGCTAATGGGAAGAGCCAGCTTTTAAAATCCTATCAGAAGCCTAGGAAAATGGAGGACTATAGAGGTTTTCTAATCCAGACCCCTGCCCAAGGTGGGAATCCAGAGATGGAGTACCCACAACTCCAGGAGGCAACTGTTTAACTGGTTAATAGTTCTGATTATCAGGAAATTCCTCCTTATTTACAGGTTGAATTGCCTTCTGAAAACTTTCCACTTACCCTCAGGTGTTAATGGAGAATAAAGTGATGCCCTCTTTCTTCTGGCGGCCTTTCAAGTATTGGAAGACTGCTATCATGTCTCCACTCAGCCTTCTCTTTGTTAAGCTAAACATAACCTAGTTCCTTTACACCTTCTTCTTTTAGCCTCGCTAGCACCAGAAAATTAAACATCACCAGAAAATACCAGGTTGCAAATTAAACTGGAGAAGTGGGGGAGGGGAAATACATTCCAAAAGAAGTAGTTTGGATTACTTTTTAGTTAGTAATCCCAGTATCGTTATGAAAGGCAATTCTCTGTGGAACAAACAAAACCCTCCAAAAGTGACTTATGCCAAGTTATGTGGTTAGAGTGCAATGAGATGTCCTGTCAACTGTCACAGCGTGTCCAGTATCACAGGTTTATTTTTTTGGCGCTTACACTTTTTTTCTTTTCACTGTCATTTCAATAGGAATAATGTTACATCATTTCAGCCAAAAATTTACTTTTTAATGTGTAATATAGAAACCGGAGCATTCAGACAGATTGTTACAACATCTGGGCTCTTTTTCCTAGACTGTCAAGTAGACATTTTGAGCAGTCGCAATTTTTATTACAAAAGACTTAGGGTGATAAATTAAGTTCTGGAGCTACAAATCTTCAAAGCTACTGCTGCAAACTGAATAAAAAACCGTAAAAGATGCATAGAATAGTGGTTGACTCAGACATGAGCAAAGCCATTTGTCTCATGAGGACGAGAAAATGGTGAACATCTGTCCCAAATTAAGATTATATACTTTTCCCAATTTAGGTAAGTGATTGGGTCATTTGAGGCAGAAAATCATAAGTGTTCCCCCTGCGATTCATCCAGCTAAGAATACACAACAATAAATTAAACATCTAAGAATTTGGCACGTGGTTCTTTTTAAGTGTTTGTGCTCTTGTTTTAATATCGATGGCACACGTTTTGAGTTGCATTTTTTCCTGGCCATGAAGTGTGATTTGACACTGGAACTAGCATTTTGTATATGGGCAAAAATGTTCTAATTTGCATAGCCTCGTTTTTATTGTGGTTGTGAAAGAACACAATTATTGTGTCCTTGTGGCATAATTGTGAGGGAATGTTGTGAGGAGGTGGATCTCCAGGATGGAGGGGGGGTGCATTCCAGTAGAGTAAGAGGCAACCCAGCCCAGATATTTTGTGTGAGAGAAAGAGGGTGAAGACAGCTTCTCCCTAACAGTACACAGATGCGGATCAGTGGTAGTATGCTACCGGTTCAGCCTGGTTTGAGCAAACTGGTAGTAAAAATTACTACCCATTGGATAATTTAAAAAAGCCTCTGATCAGCTGAGAGGATAAAAGACCAAAAAGTGCATGGGGGGTGGGTTGCTCCTAGCTTTTCATTTCTTCATCCTCTCAGCTGATTGGCTTGTTAGGGGCGCGTGTGCACACACACAATCACCCACCGAACTGATAGCAGCTAAGATAGGATCCCACTACTAATGCAGATGTTAAAGTCTTTGGTCTGGCAACATTTTGTGAGTGTGAAACAATAATGAACTCAGCTTGGAAAAATTACCATGTACCGTTCTTGGATTTACCATGTACCATTCTTGGACTGGGGACGGACATAATTGTGGAATAACTTAAGCCACAGGTTGTGCTGTCTTTCTTAGCTTTATCTTCAATCTCTTCTTTTTCTTACTTTTAGGTTCCAACTATGTGAGTCCCCGTCCGGCTCATGCCAACATGAATGCCAATGCAGCAACAGGGCTGGCACCTGAGCATATCCCTACTCCGGGTGCAGCCCTCTCCTGGCAGGCTGCTATCGATGCTGCCAGGCAGGCGAAGTTGATGGGTGCTGCTGGCAATGCAACCATATCCACCGCTAGCTCCACACAGAGGAAACGGCAACAGTATGGGAAACAGAAAAAACAGGGTACCACGACCGCTACACGTCCTCCTCGGGCATTGCTGTGTTTAACATTGAAAAATCCCATCCGGAGGGCATGTATCAGTATTGTTGAATGGAAATATCCTTTTCTGGTGTAGTCATGTGTGGAACTGGCAAATCACCAGGTTGCATCAAGTTTGATGGGGAATTGTAAATAACCCTGCAGATTAGGGGGAGGAGATACAGATAAAATGGAATAGGCTGGGATTGGTTTCAGTCAGATTTATGGAGGTCAACTATTTATAGATGAATGAAAATTGTGGCAGGTTACAGGAGTGTTTCCTTGACCATATTATACTTGAGTCTTGTAATATTTCTGTCTTTTTTAAAAAAAAAAAGTTTATTTATTTATCACCAAAGATAAAATACAAAACAAAGAAAAAGGGGGGGAAGACTAACAAACATCCAACACTAACAACAAAAAGAAAAAAAGTGTACCAAAAAAGTAAAAAAAAATCAAATAACATCTAACTTTAAACATAAGAAAAAAATCATCCCGAGCTGAATGCTGAAAGTTACATCAAAAATCTAATGCAGTATATTCCACTCCCTTTACATAATGGGTGCACTAATAGTAATAAACTGCCCCTTCTATATTTAACAAAAGTACTATATTACATAAACAAATATCTCTGTTTCTCTGAAAATATGACCTACCCTGAAAGTAAGTCCTAGCTTGATTTTTACACATGTGCCGAATATAAGCCCTATCCCCAAAATAAGTTTTAATTAAGATCCCATCCACTCCAGAGTACACAGATAAAAATTAAGCTAGGGTGAGGATGGCGGGGCGGAGCTGTCCTTTGGACAATGTAGCTAAGCCTTGCACACCCTGACACCTGCCTTGACTGCCCATTTCTTCTGCAGCCAGCAAGCCTTTCCTAAAGGTCTCTGTAGCTAATGATAGAGCCCCAGATCGATCTGGAGCTCTGTGATTGGCTGCAAAGACCTTCAGGAAAGCCTTGTTGGCTGCAGAAGATGAAGTTCCTGAAGGCTTCTGGCAGCAAAAAGGAGGCTAGGGCTGACACGCACAAGTGAAGTTTGTCAGTGGATTATATCCCCCCAAAATAAGACCTAGTGCCTTGTTTGGTGGCAAAAAAAAATAAGACAGGGTCTTATTTTCAAGGAAACTCGGTATTTATTTAATAATCAAATCAACCCAATCATCTGTATGTGTGTGTATGGGTAGGTGTGTGTGTATACACACACACGCGCGCACACACACACACAAACACAAAGTCAACAGGTTACCTCAAAATTAAAACTAATCTTCAAATGTATTATTTCTGTCTTGATTGGGTAAGAAAACACGAGATGACCAAGTGCTAGCTAACAAAAGAGACATTTTCTGTGATCCTTCACAATCTGCTCTTCCTGACTTTTATTTGTAACTGAACAGTAAACCCTGTTACAAATACCCAGTTGATTCAATGAAGATCCAATCCAGATCTTTTATCTATTTTTTAAAAAAATTAAACCAGATTCTGATTTAAATACAAGAATGTAGACGGCCCTGAAATTAAGTTTCTTATGAGTCATATGCCTCTAAGCAAAGCAGAAGGGATAAATAGAAAACCTCACAATTTTACCAGAGTATTTAAAAAAAATTTCCTTCAGTATTAGGGGAGTTTAAAAATGGACTTGTCACTACAAAGTTCAAAGATATCCTCCGGTGTCTCCTTTTTCTTTCCTTTTCTCTCTACTATTGTTTGATCTTCTGGATTAATTTTATATCTTACTTTCCTGGACAAAGAGGCTCCATATTTGGCATCCCATGATGGATGGCTAACTTAAGGGGGCCAAGCTGATATTTGTTTATTTGCCTGGCATCTGAGTAACTATGCATTTCTAGGCAGTTCACACAAGTTCACACTGATAAATGGAAGAGATTTGCCCTGGCTGAACAGATGGATGTATTACAAAATAAGAGAATACAGGGATGAGATCTGGAAATGGTTGAACAATACACTTGTCATCTCTGCAGATGAATATTCTTTTTGGAAAAACACAACACAGAAACAGCTGAAATCCTCCCAGCACCTCAGAAATGGGATCCTTTGCCAGATTACATATTTACACGTAGTCCTTGATTTATGGGTCATAATTGGGATTAGAATTTCTGTGGCTAAGCAAGCCAGTTAAGAGAGTCATACCCATTTTTACGATCTTGTTTTGCCACCATTGTTTAGCAAATGACTGCAGTTAGGTGAATCACATGGTCATTAAGCAAATCTGCTTTTCCCCCCCATTGATTTTGCTTGTCAGAAGCGGGCTGGAAAAGTTGGAAAAGGAAATCATGTGACTCCAGCGCACTGCAATCATCGTAAATACATGCTGGTTGCAAAGCACCTGAATTTTGATCATGTAGGTGTGGGGTTGCTACAACGGTTATAAGTGCAAGGACCGGTCATAAATCCCCTTTATCAGTACTGTTGTAGCTTCAAACAGTCGCTAAATGGAATAGTTGTAAGTCAATAATCAATTTCTGGCAAATAAAATCCATTTGGTGATTATATTGCAATCTACCTTGTTTCCCCCCCAAATAAGACCCTGTCTTATATTCTTTTGCCACCAAAAAAGGCTCCAGATCTCAGATTTCAGGGGGTGGGATGTCATCCACTGATTCACCTTACTTGTCACCCCTGGCCTCCTTTTCGCTGTCAGAGGCCTTCAGGAACTTTTTCTGCGACTGGCAAGGCTTTCCTGAAGGCCTCTGCAGCTGATAACAGAGCTCTGGGTCGATTTGAAGCTTTTATTGGCTTCAGAGGCCTTCAGGAAAGCCTCGCTGGCCGCAGAAGAAATGGGCCAACAAGTCAGGTGTCAGGGTGTGCGAGGCCTGGCTGCAACTGTCCAAAGGTAAACAGTAGGGCAGCTCCACCACCCCCCATCCCCACCCTACCTTAATTTTTACCTGTGCATCCTGGAGTGAGCGGGGTCTTAATTAGGGCTTATTTGGGGGGGGTACGTGTTAAAAATTAAGCTCAGACTTTCGAAGTAGGTTATATTTTCGGAGAAACATGGAAAGTATTTATTGATGGTATTTAAATCGCCATCCATCTGACTGGAAATGCTCTGGGCACTGTAGAACAATGTATACAGGTAATCCTTGACTTGCAACAGTTCATTTAGTGACCGTTCAGAGTCACAACAGCACTGAAAAAGTCATTTGTGACCATTTTTCACGCTTATGGTCATCGTAGCATTCCCCCTGGTCACGTGATCAAAATTCAACTAACTCATATTTTTGATGGTTGCAATGTCCTGGAGCAGAGGTCTCCAAACTTGGCAACTTTAAGACTTCTGGACTTCCATTCCCAGAATTCCTCAGCCAGCTTTGCTTTCAAGTGGTAGCCAGCCTTGCTGGCTGAGGAATTCTGGAAGTGGAAGTCTACAAGTCTTAAAGTTGCCAAGTTTGAGGACCCCTGTCCTGGAGTCATGGGATCGCCTTTTGGGAACTTCTGACAATCAAAGTCCACGGAGAAGCCAGATTCACTTAACAACTGCAGTGATTCACTTAATGACTGTGGCAAAGAAGGTTGTAAGATGGAGCAAAGTTCGCTTAACAAATGTCTCACTTAGCAACAGAAATTTGGGGTGCAGCTGTGGTCATAAGCCAAGGACTACTTGTATATGTAACATGCATTTATACATTGTGTGCAAGAGTATTATATAGCTTTCTCTGACCTCCTGCCTTCCAGATTTGTTGGGGCAAAACTTTCAGGACTCAATAAGCGTGTTATTGTAATCCCAGCCTATCTGGAAGGCTGCAGATCGTCTTATGAAAGGAACGGTCTCTCAGTCCTTCTGATGATCAGACCTTGGAGGAAGAAACATGGTGTGCCTCTGTCATCATGCTCAGCTTGTGCATTTCTGAACAGTATTTTGCCCCTAATTTGGGATATAAAGTAATAGAACTCATGAATCTTTAATCTAATGCCTTCTGCTTACATTGACTAACCAGATGCCTCTGAGACTCCTGTATAAGTTTCTCCAACTTCTTCATATAGAGGCAGAAATAGTGTCACAGATGTAAAACTATTATAAAACGATAAAAACGAGTTTTCTATAAAAATGCTGTCTCTCTCAAATCAAGACATAGTAAAATTCCTCAGTATAGTAATTATTTCCTGGACGTTCATTAACTTATATTTCTTTTTACTAAAAGAAAGAAACCTACTTAAACCCTTTCAAATGTGTTCCAATCAGAAATTTAAAAGCATTATAATCTATTTTTGAAAAAAAGGGAAATAGTTGAACAGAGATTTTGAATGGTTAAGTCATTATGCAGGTCAGTGTAAAATTATGAACAAGGCATTAGCTATCTAAAAGAATTGAAGCAAAATGAATCTCTGGCACCAAATGTTAATTGCTTGCTTTCTCTAGTTCAGAGTGGCCTTCTTTTCCACAGTTCCATATTTCAGTCTGATCTTTAACTTGCAAAAGTGGCACAATCATATGCAAGAAGCCTATTTACTTTGCATGTAAATAAATAGATTGATTACTTGGGCACAGGTGTTACTCCCATTCTATAAGAATTCATCAGTCTGATTCAGAAAAGTAATCCAGTTTAGTTCAGATTAATTTGGAAAATGATTCAGGTCCACTCAGCTTAAAACTGAATTGTTGAATCAGCTTTGGGCATTTACAGAAACATTCAGCTTGTTTGAATTGATGCAGAACCACGTAATTAGATTCAGTAATCAATTCAGTTTAAAGAATTGATCAAATCATCCTTGTTTTGAATCTCTGCATCAAGTACTATATTCGCATCCATCTCATGGCTGTCATTTCCAGATCTGTGTCGGTTCCTGTTTTGATATATTGTTTTCCACATGATGTTGTCTTTATACAGTTCTGTTCCCAGAAACTGCCATACTACAATTTATATTCGTGCATTTGACCTTAAAGTGTAAAACACAATGCTATACGGAAGAAAATTGTATTTGAACTTTTGCAGTGCCAGATTCTTTATCCATCTCTACTGCACAGAACTACAGAAAAAAGCAGTACAGATTTGGAGAAGGGAAACCAAAATCAAATTTTGATAGGCCGGTTTTCCTCTTAAATGCAGATATCATATTCTGTTATGAACTACCAAAAAAGCAAATAGGTCGAAGTAAAATATTTAGGGACACATTGCTATATCTTACTTTTCCCTAACATCATGCATACAAATTCAGCCAAAAGGGAAAAACGGGATAGAGCAGGTCTACAACATAGAACCGTGATGGCAAACCTATGGCATGCATGCCGAAAGTGGCACGCAGAGCCACTTCTGCTGTGCCGGTTGCCCAGAAGAGCCCCACAGTGCATACGCATGCCGCACACCCGACAGCTGATTGTTGGTTATCTGGCGTACATGCGCAGGAGGGTGAGGGGTGTGCAGGAGATGCACGTGCATGCATAGAGATGCATGGCGCATGGGGAGATCATGCACACATGCAGAGATGTGCTGCATATGTGGGGGGTTGCACACACATGTGTAGGAGGCGTGGGGGCCCTCACGTGCATTGCCTTCTGGCAATTTTTGGCATGGGAGCCCAAAAAGTTTGACATAGAATAAGGTCACAAACTTACTTAATTCCAGAATACACAACATGCATGCAGGCCTTGGAGCTCTGTTTTCGCTGGTAGAGTTTTGCAGGAGCTGAAAATGGAGCTCACGATGGCTGCAGGCAGCACTCCCAAGCTCTGTTTTCGCTGACAGAGGGTTGCAGGAGGCCTTCGCAGCTGAAAACGGAGCTTGGTAGCCCATTTTCACTGGCAGAGCATTCAGGCCACCACAGGCACCCCCCAACATGAGTGACATTGAGCTGTCCATGCCCACCCCAGCTGGCCATGCACAACACGCCCCCCAAAGTCAAGCACAATCTTGATGTGGCCCTCAATGAAATCAAATTTGACACCCCTGCCCTAGAGCTTCTTTGGATATTCTTCCTTTGTATAAAAAAAGTATTTTCCAAACTTGACAGAAATAAGACACAGAAAAACCCAAAGAAGTCAAAGAAAGGCAGAAAAAGAGTTCTAAAAGTTGCTTCTTTGAAGTGATAGATGACAATGAAATTGTATTGCAAATGTAGTTAGAGATAAAGAGATTTAGTTGGAAGCAATTTGCTCAAAAGCAGCTCCACAAAGATGGAAATAAACAAATTTCAGCTTAAATAAAGACCAAAGAAAAGCTTAAGGAATCTATGTGTATTCTGGCACGCGACTGACCTACGATGCTTTTGACATATTAAGAAGAAATTTGGCTGGGAAGGAGAAAAAGCACTTTAAAGGCAGGTGTTTCTTTTCAACATACAAAGAATTAGAACAGTCTTCTTTAAACAGAATCCTTTTTAACTTTGTTTTTCCTTCCAGCATAATTAGCTTATACGATTGAAGCTACGATTTAAGAAACCAACTATCTTCCTTAACTCCATTCCTCAGACCATTTGAAATTATTATTTTACTGACTATTTTTGCCAATTGTGTGGCCTTAGCTATCTATATCCCCTTTCCAGAAGACGATTCCAATGCCACCAATTCCAATCTGGTAAGTCTTGGTTTATGCTTATGGCTTTGGCAGCAAAAAGATCTTATTCGGAACTCAAGAAAAAAAGGCATTTGAAAGATTGAAATGCCATGTACTCATGTTGTAGTTATGGATGTATGCATGGATTTCAGGCTCTAGAGTCTTGGATTGTTTGATATTTGGATTAAATCTCAAATTTGTGTTTGGTATATGTGTTGTTGGAACATTGCCTATGTTCTTTATATTTCTTCAAGCAGTGGAGGATTATTTATTTGAGCTAATAAACAGTCTTAGTGTTACGTTCAAATGTTTGACAATAGAACTTGTGTATTTGATGTATGGTAATTGATTTTTTTCTCCCTTTCTTCTTTTGCTTGAATTTTTTTCTCTAAATGCAGCGGTAATGCCATTTGTTCAATATGGGCAATGCTTATTATAGAAAAGAAGGAATATATATTTGCATTTCGGTTTCCAAATGTATAGAGGTAGTCCTCAATTTATGGCCACAATTGGGACCAGAATTTCTGTTGCTAAGCAAGGCAGTTTTTAAATGAATCAAACCCAATTTTGCAAACTCTTTTGCCATAATTTTAAAGTGAATTATATGGTTGTTAAACAAATTCAACTTCCCCCATTGGCTTGGCTTCTTGGAAATCAGCTGGGCAGGTGATCCGATAACCCAGGGATGATGCCTCTGTTGTAAATATATGCTGGTTGCCAAGTACCTGAATTTTCAATCATGTCACTATAGGGATAGTGTGATTGTTGTAAACACAAGGGCCAGTTCCAAGTCAATTTTTTCATCACTAAATGAATGGTTGTAAGTTGAGGACTACTTGTAATTTCTTCTGGGCAAAAGGGGAAAAAAACCCAAAGATCCCCAAAGCTAGTATGATAATAAATTTTAGATAACAGACTTAAAGTTGTGGCTGTATTTAAAGCAGTTTTTCGGAGAGATAAGTTGGAGGAAGAATGACAGTAAATGTATCTGTTAAGGATTTCCTTATCTTAGGAAGCAAATTTATTTGTGATTTGGTCCCATGAATATCCAATTGTTTTTGTGATGATTATTAGAAAGGCAAGATAAAAATACTGGAATAATTATGTCTGTTCAAATTTAATTCTGCCACCAAGCCAAATGTTAAATATTCATGTACAAATTCTGATCAGTGTGATATGGAAATAGGAACTGCTAAATAAAACAGCAACTTGCTAATGTATATTGTATATTCTAAAAAAATAGAAAGAAAAACGAGTTAATATATTTCTTCTTGAATATATTGAAAAAGTGACAGCGATTGTGGGCTTAATCGTGAGCAATTTGTTAAACTGTGGGAAATTGCAGAAAATTACACTATTAATGTGGTTAATACAATGATTATGAGAAAATTTATAATATGTGTTTAAGAGAGTTTTATTTATTTAATGGTATTATACCTAGGCTGCAGAAATCAAAATGACAAGTAGATGGCAACAGAGATATAGCAAAAGCTAACTCTGTTGCCTTCTGATGGCTACCTTGAACATAACAGCCTAGATATAGTAGCTCTGAACTGCAACAGTCCAAAAGTTGCTTGGGAAAGTATTCTAATATTTTTAAAAGCATTGGAAAATGTAGAAAAGTATTTTGAATTCTCTCTGATATCTCTTACTGTTAGTGCTGTTGTTTTATCATATATACATACTGTATGTTGAACGTACCTAATACACCTGCCTCCCATTTTCTGGTGGGTGGAGTAGGTGTTATTGTTGTAAACAACCTTGTATCATCCACTTGTTTATAGCTGATACCTAATGATTAGGGTCGGAATATCTGAAAGGCTATTTCCTCCTATTGGAAGCTGCTTTTAGCTGACGTTCTTGGTTTCTATTATCCAAATTTCTTTTTGGTAGTAAGAAAGACAAACTTGGTTAAGAGAAACATGGGATGCATTTTCCTTCTGGTGCCATTTCCACAACTTCACCCCCCCAACTGTAGAATTTATATCCTTGGGTAAGTTAGCTTGTCAGTTTTCTTTGTTTACTTTTAAGCAGATCTTAACATATTCTGGTTTCCCATGGATTTTTGTGATGCAAAATGTGTTCATTATTCTTTTTGTTTTAAAGAAAAAGAACTTTACTTTTTCTTAATGCTGTTGTGCATGGATTTTTTTTCTTTTGAATCGCTTTAAATTAAAGCACATTGTCACATTGAGAAACTTTGCTGCCAACCATACAATTCTGACAACTCAGAAATGTTGGTTTAAATGAAGAACTAAAATAAAACAGCTCAAGAAAGAAGGGTGCTATATACATCCCTGTCTGTTCCCAAAGTCTGTTCAATTACATGGGATAAACCTGCAGAGAAAGGGAGGGAAGAAAATACCATTTATATAGATCAAGAACAATCAAATTTTACAACTTCATTCATTCATTAAAATAAAATATACATTTTGTGTGTAGGAAGGTATTTGACATGGGTACCTTATATTTTTCAGAAGCTGATCTCCCCCCCCCCCCCAAATTGTGATGTTTCTGTGTGATTGTAAAGTCTCCAAGGGCTATTTTTTTGGTCTACCTACTGTACCTGTCAAATTCTATGGCATTCAGGCTGAGTATATTACAGTTGCTCTCTGATACGTATCATCCATTCCCCTGCTAGAGAGGAGGAAAGCTGCTATTACTTTCTGCTAAGTTCTCATTCGTTGAGAGTCAAGTATTTCATTTGTCTTTGAAAAGCCCTGGGTGAGACAGCAGGTGTGGCTGAGGCAGAAAAAGCTGCTTTAGAAATACTGTTGTTCTTTGGGCATGGAAATCAAATACAATCGGAAAGAAGAGCCATTTCATTGAAGAAAATTATCTTCTGAAATTACTAAATATGACACTTCTACAACAACCACAGGGCTCCACATTAGATTGTAGATCTATGTATGTGGAGAGAGGGTTACCTTGAATCTAGCAGTATCTAAACATTAACTTGCAATTCAGTAAGAAAAAGAGAGGATATTCCTCTTGTGAAAATTCTGAGTTAGACAGGAACAAAAAGGACAAGTTTTTGCTTCTTGACATAGTAAATTTATATTCACAGGAGTACAGCTTCTTAGATGACAGCCTATCTACTGGCACAATCTGTTCAGTCTTCATCACAACTGGGTCCAAAGGAAGCATAGTATGATATCAATTGATTTGACTACTTTCTTTGTTATGTTGGATGGTAATCTTAAGTGTAGGTAGTAAGATAGAATAAATAGAGTAGAATAAAGGTGGTCCTTGTTTAGTGATCACAATCGGGACCCGCAACTCCTATCACCATTGTCACTGAGTGAAACATCACATGACTGGGACAGACTTACAATGTCCCTCCCACTGCAATCGTTAAGTGATTCACTTTGGTTGTTAAGTGAGGCATCATAAATCCCTCCTCTTTGCAAAGTGCCCAAATGTCAATTACGTGATTGTGGGGATGCCAGAGACGGATTGTAAATGCAAGGAGTGGCTATAAAATTACTTCCTCAGCATGTCATAACTTCAAATGGTTGCTAAGTGAGGAGGTTAGTAAGTGAGATCTCCCTGTAATGGGATTTCTTCTTGAACAAAATATTTTATGGGTACTGATAAGAATACACAGGAAGTTCTCTCACAGAGTGAGTCCATCTAAAGTGTATCCAGTTTGCTCTGTTATACCTAGAAATTCAAAGATTAAATCTTGTATCTGCAAATTATACATTCAGTCATTGAATTATGTTTATGGGTGTACATCCCAAAAGGACAGTGCCAGAAACCTCACAGCACCAGACACCTCAGAAAACAGTGCCAAGAAACTCAAGCCAGACCTTCCCCTTTTAAGAAAACCAAGAATCACCAGCTGAAAGAGAAAACTCAGAGCAGCCCTGCTAACTGAGCTGGCAATAGAAACACTTCAGTAGAGCCATTAAGAAGACATAACCAGAACTCCCCTTTTCCTGCCCCCGACAAAATTAGCCCCAGGATAGGAAAGACAAATGTCCTGGGACAGGATTAACCCATTAAAGCAGGAAGACAGGATCCAGGGCAATCCCTTTAACTAGAGGCACACGCATAAACCCATCAAGATGCAGGAGCTTCAAAGGGGAATTAAGCATAAAAGGCTCAGATTCACACTTCCAATCTGCTTGCAAGCCAGGAGCGCTGGAGCTGTGTCACTACTTTTCTTGCCTTCCTGAATTAAAGGATCCCTTTTCTGGCAGCTGGCTTCGATGTCTATTTCTTCTTAGCATCAGTGACTGCTTCCCAGCTGGGAAATGAACTCAGGAAATTTCTGAATGTGAATACCTACCCGTTGGCATTTTATATTGGATTGTGAAGTTGTGGCTTCATTAGAAAAGGGCTTCAAGAAATATTTGTGGCATGTGCTCTGATGGAAAGTTTTCAAAATTAACTTGGACCTACTGAAGTTGTTTACCTAAACCAGTTCTGCAGTCAGAACTATGGATAATTTTTTGACAGATTTTTGATGCATACTGAAAAAAAACTACCCTATGCAATTTTTTTTTTAAATCTCTGAGCTGTAAAGTAGGAATCTGGTTTATGGTCTAGAAAAACCAAGAATGCTATGGTGATTGCTGGCCATACTGCGTTGTTTGAAATCTGGAAGGCGACAGAATTCCATTTGCAGATGGATTTTGCATTGGAGAGAGAATTGGCCCTACTTGCATTGTAGAAGAGGAAGGAGATTAGCAATCAAGTGGGAGCAGAAAGGGGAGGGAATAGTTAAAGCTAGAGAAAAGTCAAGGAAGCTTTGCTCTAAAAGGAGATGGCTTTGGCTGCATGTAACTCTCTCCCCTCCCCCTCTTTGAATGGCTTAGTGTCCTGGTTTCTTCTTCCATCTTCCCTGAGTCTGTTCCGCTGCCCGGTAGACCAGGTAAATGGCTGGAGCTCAGGATCCTGGACAGCAGCTTTGGTTTGGAGCCTTAAGGTTTAGAGGGCTGGTTTAATGTCAAGGTTCCAAGTAGTACATCCCATTCAATAAGAACTCTGAGGCAGGCATATCCCTCAAATAACAT